ATATGGAAAAAGACAAAGAGACAGAACAGCTGAAGACAGCAGGATGATCTTTGGCGTTGGCCTTCCTGGACACAACAGCTGTTGAAACTTTCACTTACTGTTAAAGGGAAGAAGATGTGAAGATTTATAAAGGACTTTATTGTCTAGACATGTGCAGCAGGCACTTTGCTTGGGATTTAAATGAGGGTTACTCAGGATGAAGTAAAAGAAATTGTCCTAGTTTGGGAATTTGTATAAGTGGCCATTTAAAAACATGAAGTGTAAAAAGACTGTTTAAACAAACATGTCACATGTTGTAGTGGCAGGAGCAGACTGCAAATAATTTTACATCCATAGCTGTATCAAGTTTATTTGAGGATTAATAGCTCAAATTTACCTGGGTAGCAAATGCTGGATGTATAAAAATATCTCTCAGTACATAATGAGAGATAACTATTGACTTGAATTTATAGAACTTTAAATTTGTAAGCATAACCAAATCTGCCTAGTAGGAATCAAGCTGGGAATCTTCCATAATAGCTTTAAATGCCATTTATCTAATCAGCTAACCAACTGCCTTTAAATTGCATCTGCTGTAATAAAAAAAGTCTTGTCTAATGCTCTAAGAAGAAACTGGTGGTTCCAGCACATATGGACCATATCGGCCAGGATTAGTGGTGTTGTTGCAGTTAGTGTGCAGTTCTGCAAAGACGTTGTTGATGCTGTAAAGACTTGACAAATGAATGTCAAGTACACACCCAGAGATTATGAGTGTCAAACTTTGCTCCTGGTTTATTATCCACAGTGTCAGTGCATTTGTATATCACAAGAATCATTTTGTGACATTTCCACCTATCTGTTTTTATTGTCTTTATATTGTGTAGGAAAAGAATGAGAGCGAAAGATCTGGAAGACTAAAAACTACATTATATCAAATCTTATAATATAAAAATGAGTGCAACTTGTGCATTTTGAGAACTGTCTGCTGTGACTTCCAGACTTTTATGCTTCTTTGGAAAACACGAAGCACTAATGAAAAGCAGGCTTTATAGGGTCTGACACAATCCAGTTTAGCCTAGCAATGTAGGCACAGTTTGGTCCAGTTCTGTGTTTGCTCTGATTTCAAATCTGTAAATGACAGTTATCCATTTTTACAAACAGCAGCAATTTGCACATGAATGTTGAGCCAGTTACTGTTCCTGTTTGGAAACACTACACTAAGATAGTTCTCACTTAAGGAAACTGAACTGAAAGGTTTACAAGCTTTAAAGTACTTTTTAACCTTTACCTTAGAATTTGTGGTTTCTATCTGAGACAGTTGAAAGTGTAGATTTACAGAGAAAATATCCGAAAGCTGCAGTATGCAGTAAAACCTTGCAACCCCTGCATCCCTCCAGGACCAGCAGTTTTTGTTTGACTCCAGCTACACTTGAATTGTGGGACCAAACAAAGATCACAGGCTCTTTGTGACTGGAAACACACAAAGTCAAAACTGGGGAACACAAAATGATGATTAAGCCCTCAGTGTAGTTTGCTTTAAAAACAGTTGTGTCATGAAAGTAAACCGTTTATCTGAAACACACTAACAGACTTTATTCAATAGGAGTTTCCATCCATCTTAAAAACTCATTTTTTTCATTTTGTAAATCAACATTATGGCATAATCACAAAGATTTAGGCCAGAGATGGCAGCTGGCCAAAAAGTAAGCACAGTTTACAGAGTACACAATAATCTATTATAATGCTCGGGTCGCACAGCTGCTTGGTATGATCTCTGCGGTCAGAACTAGCTGTAGAGAATATGTTGTTTTGCTTGTTGACTTCTTCCACTTGGCTTCAGCTTGTACTCAAAATGCGAATTTCAGCTATGTGCTTTGAACCATTATAGCTCAATAACACTTTTAGTATTGTAGGTTTGAGAGCAGTAACTTTACTACAGTCAGTGATATTAATGCAGATGTTCACAGAAATGTGTTTACTTTGTTTTATAAACACTTTAAACTGTGCCATTAACGCTTTGAGTGCACCAGCCAAATGTACTTTTTAACTACAACCCCAAAGACATCTTTAAAGGCTAATTACAGGCTTAATGATTTGAAATATAACTTACTGTATGCACAGTTAATAAGCTGTTACTTATACATTATAAACCTTAATAAAGGAAGCCTTGTTAAAGAAATGGTACATAAATACAAATTTTAAGCCCAATAGTCCTGTCAGCAAATATAAGCTGGCTTCACCAAGGCTTAAAAAGTGATATCATACAAATAGTTGGGAACATAGTTTATTCAATTGTGTTTGGTTTCCTCACAGTAAATCCAAGAGCAGTTACTGAGTCAAAAGGCCACAAATGAAATCACGATAAAACGACAAATTAAACCTAAACAAAATGTGATATTCTAATAACATAATTTCAGTCCACATGACAGACCCGCCAAGTTGACTTTGTATTGGTAAAAAGCCTTTATCAGTTATGGTAAACGACTACGTAACAATGACAGCACCTTAACTGCAAAAGCTGTAGTTTATTATCAAAGAATGTACCATTGGAAGCATGCAAGTAATGCAATGTTGTATACAAATCAGCAATGTGCACAACAGCAGACAGCTAGGAACTAAGTCATGTGAATAAACAGACTGACTCGTGATTTCTGAAAAAGAAAGAAATTCGCTATGAGGATTTACTTCTAAGGATAATGTTGGTGTCTTTTACACTTGTATCATTTATTCTAATTTCTAACACCAAAGACAAATATATGTAAATTTTTCAGATGTTCAGCTTGAAATTATTCCTGTAAAAACCTGGGAAGTAAATTTCCTAAAGAGAATGGATATTGCTAATCAGCCAGTGGGCCACCATGCATTTGCAACAAGGTAGTAAATAACAGGCACAAGTAAATAACACTGATATTTTCCTTAAAAATCATTTTAGATACTGAACATATGACTGCACTGTAACTGCTATTTTACAGTTTGATCATAATTTCTTATAAAGACATCACACGGAGTGTGAAGCCCTTTCTCGCTGGTCCTTTGCACAGCAATGGATTCATTATTGTACCCACATTATACTATACATGCTGAACACTGGAACATACAAGACAGACAACAAAATGACACGACAACTGAACTGAGACACGGGAGAACTTTAGTCTTTGCTTACTCCACTGAGTCTGTATTCAGTATAATCAAATGCAAGTTTGGAATGTATAAAGTGTGTGTATATGAATTCATGTTTATTCAGCAGACTTTTTTTACTCTTTATTTCTACTGTTGGAATGTTATTTTTTATGTTCATGTCAATTTAAACAATTATTTTATATTAATTTATACCTGTAAATATAAAGAGCCAAATACTTGGAACATTTGCTGAAATAAACACAATCTGAAATAATCCGATTGCATATTTTGCAAGATAGGTTGCTCAAAGATGTTCAAAATTGTTGATAGCTTGTCATGGCTATCAACAATAGCTCAGCTTTAGATTTGTTCAAGATATATGTTTGATATGAGATGACAATATCCCAGATTTCATAATACTTATGTCAGACGTGCAGGGACATAGGAGCACTTTGAAAGATGGTATATTATGACAATTAAATCCACAAGAGTTTGAGCTGAGCGGTGTTATGATAGCAGAAAGGCTGAAGATCTGAGGGTGGCCCTTATTCGAACATGATATCTGAAGCTTGGCGCAGGCAGTTGACGGCATCAGGGGGCATGTTGATGTGTGTGACGTTGTTGGCATCCAGGCGCAGATGCTTCAGGCGGGAATAGTTGAGAGGTCCAATGTACTTGCAGAAACTTGCCATCTCAATCTCTACAGAGAATCAAAAATGGACAGAAAATCATGGAATTTCAACCATTTTAAGATGAGAGTTGCAGGCACCGTTTCGACTTCTGACCACCAGCAGTGGTACAGTTGAATGTTTTTATGAGTGGGGCTCTGTTGTGTTTGTAACATGCCTGAGCATGTGACACACATTCCTGTGGTTTCACCTGATCAACAGTCGGTGGTGATAACTACAAGGTGTAAACAATGCATCATTTCAAATAATCAAACAGCTAGGGAAGGAAATACATTCAGCAAGAAAAACAGTTAATATAAACAACACTTTAATAGACCTCCATGGGGCACATGGATTAAATATTAAAATAAAATGGAACAGCTGTCACTCACTGTTGATCTCATTGGCCTGGAGGTAGAGCTGCTCCAGCTGCTCGTTGATCTCAGGGATGGACTGCAGCTTGTTGAAAGACAGGTCCAGTTCCACCAGTGACGACACGTTGAACGCTCCAGCAGGTATCCCGGCATCCATCAACTTGTTGTGGGAGATCCTTAGGTACTGCAGTGATGGCAGCTTGTTCAAGTATCCAGCTCCAATACCATCAATATCATTGTAGTCAGCATAGAGGATTTCTAGTGAGCTGGGGACTCCAGCTGGCAGCTTCTTCAGCTTGTTGTGGCTCACATCCAGGGACAGCAGCTTTTTGGGACCTTTGAAGGCCCCAGCGATGGCATCGGATGTTAGCTGATTGTGCTGAAGGTTGATAAAGGTCAAATTTTCTTTGTCAGTCAAGAGTCCAGAGGGGAACTTGGATAACTGGTTGTACATCATCTTCAGCTCATCAAGAGACTTTGAAGGAGGGATGACTGGTTCTGTGAGGTTGTTGTGGCTGAAGAATAGCTTCTCCAGGCCAGTGAGTTTGTCGATTGTGCCCTTTGCTATCTTAGCATTGGTGATCTGGTTGTTGTCAAGTATGAGCCAGCGAAGTTCAGCAGTAACATTATCAAATACACCTGGCTTGATCTCGTCAATCTGGTTGTTCTGAAGGTACAGGTACTTGATTCCTGTTGGGACTACAGGAACAAACTTGAGACCACGGCTGTCACAATACATGGCGCTGGGGAAATTGTATGGGCACTCGCATTCTTGATTACAGTTGGGGCTTAAGGGTATTAGGTCGAGAACAGGGTGTTCGTCGTAGTCATAATATTGGCACAGTGCCATACTGACCAGTATGGCCAACAGGGGCACACGAAGAGGAAACATGGCTTCTAGAGAGTCAACAGACAGATGGGAAGAGGAAACAGGAAATGTGGTAGAAAGGTTAGAATGGCCCAAAATGTAAATTCATAATCTTAAACAGAAATATACAAATACACTTGTTTACACTTGTTTAAGTGAAACCTCTGCTATAGTCAGAGGTGTGGTGGCATATTTGGCATTTTGACAATTTTAGCTCATGGTCAGATCACTCACAATTCAAACATGTATTTATTAAAATAACAACAACAAAAGAAAGAAAGCTAATAAAAGTATTAAATTGCTAAGAACATGTCAGTCTTGACTCCCAACACACACTACAGCCCGCCACACACCCACTCCCCAGAGCATTATATAATCGGTCAAGAGTTCATGTCACGTGAGACCACTAAGTCCTAGATCCCTTGATTCAATTATCTGTGTTGAGCCACATCATTGCAGTTGCAGCTTGAACCAAAATGCACTGCTCCCAGCACCACTTCATCTATCACCTTGAAAGATTTCTACATAAACCAGCAATAGGAGCAATAATGCAATGCAGATGAAAGGAAACTATATACATAAATAAATATTGCATAAATCTTCAAGATATGTTTTTTGTATTGAACACTAAAAAAGTGATTTTTCTTAGGCTGGTAAACAATAAAGCAAACATGTAGAAGGTGAAAATTAAAAGCACACCTAAAACTAGTTTTAGGATCATGACTGTACAAACTGCAGACAGTGCAAAACCAGAATGATTAATTCCAGACCCATGAAAAATGAAAGACCCCATATCCAAGTGCAACAGATAATTTTCCTAAGTCTAAAACTATTAAAACCTGTGTAACACTTATAAAAAGGTACTTTAAATCCTTATAAACATGTAAGTTCTAGTCTAATACACTATTGTTTCTATTCTTACTCTAAGATGCACACTATAAAAACTTCTACCACTCATTTTCTTCATGCACGGGTCTTTTTGCCTTCTCTGTTGCAGCACTAGCACTGTTGCATGCCCAGAATACAGCAGTGACAGCTGATAAGCTCATCCGGAAAACACAGATAAAGAGGAACAATCAAACAGGAAATCACAAATCCATGCCTCCATGTGCAAACTTACCTGTGCTTCTCTCTCTGTGCCTGTGGGGTGGAGGGCCAGTAGGTAAGAACAGTGTGGTCTTCAAAAACTGGAGGTCTCTGGAGAAAAACACAGAAGGAAAGAAAGAGAGAGGGGGAGGAGAGAGAGGGGGGGTGGTGGTAGACGGCGAGACAGAAGGAAAAAATTAGGTGGGGGAGGAGAGGAGGCTTCCTCAGCAAACTGTAGCCAGGTCATCACATAAAATGAGGATGCCATCAGTATGAATGTCAAGGGGAGTATCATCCACAAAGTACAGTTAACTAACCAAGACCAAGTGCAACAGGGTAGGGTGATATTAAGGCACAGAAAATGTGGCAAATATATAATGTGTTGATATAAACTTCCAGTTTTTCAACATTTATCACTGCTTTTAGGTAACTGTCCTCCAAACCTTCACCCTTAATTGTCTCCAAGCAACAACCCGACCTGGAGTTGGGTCAACTGTGCATGGAAAAGTTTAAAAAAGCTGGAGAAACTTTGCATGGAAAAATGTGAAAACACTCTCTGGCAGCCATTTAACCCAGACGCTAGTTATGAAGAAGAATAGTTCTAGCTGTACTTATTGAGCTGTGAATAAAGCTTTGGAAAATCTGACAAAGTGAGATAGGCAGAAAAACGTTGCATAACACTTGCCGCTTTTACGCTGTAAGGGGAGAAAGGTAGGTTAAAGCAGATCCAATTGGTACCATATGTTTTTTGCTATGTTGTTCTACTTTTTTTTCTTGCAACCCCCCATTTTTCTTCTCCACATACCATGAAGCCCTGCAATCATCTCTCTCTCTGCATATGTGAGACAAATGATAAAACGCTTGCATTTAATTGGTCGCAGCGCAGTCTGTTACTCTACTCACATTCTTAGAGACCATCTTAGAAGCATTTCTCCTGTGTGGAAAACTTTGATTCATCACCATATCTGATTTTCCAAAATAACTCCTGTCGCTCTTTTTTCCAACACTAGACAGCTGATTTAGTGAACTTTTGAGTAATCCAACCACCTTTTCACAAATGCTTTGTCCTTGATTGATTCTGCCCATTCAACTGGCCCACTAAATCAGCAAATGCCTCCACCAAACAAATGCAGCCTCTTAATGGCATCCACTGGGTTTCTAGGAAGTGCTATATTTTTACAAAACTCGTGCTGTTTTGTCACTCTTACATTAGCTACTGTATAAAATCTAAAGCTTTCCAGGTTTCTTGCAGCAAGCACCTGATAATCCGGTGCAGCACTGTGAAGAATAATGTAAGTCATTTCATTATTATGGCCTCGCATATTCATTTTAACCTGAATACACTGTTAGAGTTTATCACAAAAGGAAGTGGGATGAGGCACGGTGAGATAACCTGTGTAGATTGTTCCCATACGTATCAAAAATCCACTGAGTGAAATGCTGTGAAATAAGAGGTTTGCACTGTAAAAATGAGGTTGGAAAAAACTGAAAGGTCAGTGTCAACCACTGTACCTTTCAAACAAGGGCAAAGTGGTTATATTGAGAGCTGCAAACGTTGTGTTTGTGTTGAACTGTTGTCCTCTAAATTCAGGAAAGAGAAGGCTGCACATCTGAATATTTAACCCTTGATTCCAGCCCTTGATGTAAACCTATAGAGTAACATGCTGCTCAGTACAAAATGGCAGAGGGATAGTCTTTCATTCTATTTAATGAGCCACACCTGGTTGTGTGTAAGGGCACACAGCAGGTGGTTCATTAAGCTTCCATTTCAGTTTGATTCACTTTGTAAGGCCTTATATTCCATACACCAAAGTCCTAATTGCAACCAGCTTTTTCCTTTTTATTATTATTATTTTTTGTACTGGTGTCGGTGTACTATCCTATGTCGCACTTATGCATAATACTAACTTGAAAGTCATTAAGTGAAATGTCCTATGCAGTCATGCTACAGTCATTACTGACAGCAGACAAAGTCTGTTAGAAGAATGTCTGTGCATATCACATTAGAGGCCTCTTCAATAAATAAACATTTTACCCCCAAACTGTCACTTTTACTGTCTTTGGAGGGGTGGGGTGAGATGGTCAAACTCTGAATTTAGGAAGATGCACGCTGCCGTGCTCTGTAGTCCCTTTTGTATCAGCGTCACAGCTGACCTCATATAAAAGAGTAGATAATTATGTTACCTCTGTGATGCATGGTGGTGGCAAATGCTTCAACACATGGGATGTGCTGTTTGTCTTGTATATTATCCACCTTTGATATCACCTTTTTTTATGTGCTTCATGCAGACTCCCCAAGCAGCTAGTATGAGCTGCTACTGCATTGACTTCTGCTATTACTTTAGGGCACCTAATGCTGATGTGGGCTAATGAATTTTCTTGTAGAAATCTGCTCCAACATGGAGAAGTGCTGCTGAAGCCTCCCATGAACCCAGACTCATTGAACAGCACCACCAGCAGCAGCACAGAGATATTAACTTCTAAAAGGTTTTGAGCAGGATTGACCTCTCTAACCAATCAGAGATTTTCAGTTATTTATGTCTGATCACTAAGTTTTGTTGCATTCTCATTTCTTGTAATTTCATAACAACAACTATCTGAATAGTTGGGCAGAGCGTGGCAGATTGTAGTAGAGCATAGTGGAGCAGGGGGAGGGAGTGCTGGGCGGGGCAGGGTGGACTGACTTGGAGTTTCATGCTCATGCTAACTTAAGCTACATACTGTAGCTTTAACTCATAGGCAGGAATGACTAATTTGTGTACATAAACCCCTCTAATACTGTGGTCATTAGTCCAGACATAGCAGTAAACTGCCCAAAATGTGTATTTCTTTGAGGCTGAAGTGTTTTTGCCTCTGTTACTGGCGAGTGTTTTTGTGTAAACGCAGACCTAAGATGTTCCAGACTGTTTGTAGAGTGGTGGATGGAAAACAGACATTTTACTTCATCAGTGTGCTTTGTCTCATCAAGTGTGTTGATGTCTGCTTTATGCTCTCATATCCTTTCCACTGGGCCAGATGGCAGACATTGACTTTGCTTGTGCTTAGCTGCAATTTATTTAATTTCCCTGAAGTGCTGCCAAGTAATGAATTTCCATTCTACTGAAAGTCAGTGATATTCAGCAAAGTCAATTTGTAGCTCCTCTGCCCTTCCTTCTTGTATCAGGTCTGTGAGTGACCTTGGTGTGGTTCACTCTTCCAGATAGTTGCTGCATGTTTAAGTTAGCACTTCCTTAAGCAGACTACAAATCAGTGTCATCAACAATTTAAGATATATTGAGCAATGCATTTTATAGTGAACCATATAATACTCTGTCAAAGTGCAGTGCAAACTTTATCTTCCCTGGCTGCTTCCTCCTTATAAATAACACACACAGGCACATTCACAGATACAGTAATACGAAAGCACGAGCTAATAAAAAAAGACCCTCACAACTCAAATGCACATGCTCTGAAAGAGATTCAAGCAAGTTTATTAGCAAACAGGGATATTTTTGGACATCTTGGCATGGACACAGAGACTTCTAATAAACACTCAGATGGCACCCAGACACCACCTTCAGTTCCCTCCATGTGGCCATGATGTAAGTGCTGTGCTTAAAACAGAGGCAGGCCATGTGATTCTCTCACCTTGTCTTTCATGGGCTCACATGTACTGCAAGCAGATGAGAAGATTTGCTTAATGCAACAGATGTCTGTTCATCTAGCTCCTACTTGTAAACCACACATCTTAAAATGTAATTGTAATCCATATGTAAGGGATATATTGTAAACGGTTGTTTTCATATAAATGTTTCTCACAGTAATAACAGAGATTAACGCATCGCTGTGGTGCTGATAGAATAATTTTATTTTAGGAATTTAATATCATACTGTTGTAGTCAGACTGGTATAATCCCACGTTGGTGTGTAGGCTACTTTGGATTCACATTAGGATTTGCAGACTGAAACAATCATCTGCACAAATCTGTGACACATCTGCTTTTTGGCAACGAGCGCATGTTTGCTCTGATTTAAGTGACAGCACCACATTCCTCTAAACTATTTCTTCTTAAGCATTTCACAAAGCTCCACAAGACAGACACACACACCTGAACTCACATGCACCAGCACACAAATATTGGCACCAAGCCTAAAGTAATAACTCTAAGTGGCTATGGTCTAGACGACAAATGTCTGTTCAGGTGATTAAGCTACACTGTGCTTATATGTGTGGTTCACGGGGAATAGAAAGGCAGAAAATATAAAGTGCTGTACTGATAACCACCACATGGGGGCAACATATCGAAGTACATTTATAATATGCTGCAGTATAGAACTCAGTCTGGGGTGTTAGGATGAGAGCCAGAGTTTGAACACGAACGCTTTTCAGTTGCTCCTTGTCTAAAGAAAAAACCAGATCTAAGTCTATACATTATCATAGGAAAGGATAAAGTAAGAAAATCTAGATTCTGATGAACATTGATCATTAGACACCATACAGCCTGCTTCAGAGGCAGGAATCTGAACCTAAATATTCCCATTGCAGCCTCATAAAATACTAAAAGATGATAAATCACCTCATGGCTCAGAGGCCAGAAATGGTCCTTGTGCAAATATTTGTTTACCTCAGGCCACAAAACCCATTAATATGAATTAGAGGCTGCAGAGGCAGCTAAAAGTGAAATAATCTACCCTTCAAACAAGACTTTTTACTAACCATGGGACCTGAATGTGGTTGTGCAATAGCTCATTCACATTGTTGTTAGCAAACAGACCAGCACTGTGTGGAGTTGACATGTTCTCCTCTTGTCAGTGGGATTTCCTCAGGGAGCTCTGGTTTCTTCCCACAAACCACTGACAGTGAACTGGAGACTCTAAATTAAATGTGTTGTCTGTCCATTTACTTTACATGCATCTGTCCTGTAAATGTATGCAGCAAATCCTGTGATGGACTGTGACCTGTACCATTTACCACGACTCTTGGCCAATGTATGATGGGAATGGCCCCACCTACTAGATAACAAATAGGAAACTGTACTTGGAAAATGTATTGTATGTCATCCACTGATAAGCTTTTTTCTCTTTTTCAGTGTAGTTTGCAAAAACTTAGGTTTATAACAGGAAAAAAATGCCTCATTTAATTTACAATACCATCTATTCCAGCAAAACTAGTACTTTTTTTTTAGATATAGAAGATGAATCCAACCCATATTTACTCTGACAGGAGAACAGTCTTGATGGTGTGTGGTAATGTCACCATATGACTTTGGTAACTTGTTCAGTAAAACTGGAGTCTGATAAAAGTCATGATGACTGACGACCTTGAAAAGTGCTTGTGAAAAGTGCATTGTTGCACATTATTTAGGTGCGTTTGTTCAGTCCTTACCATAACAAAGCATTAAAAAGCACAAACATTTTTCTACATGGCAAATTTTGTGACATTTGATATCTTTGATTGAGCCAATCAAAGCAGCATTTCTATAAACCTTTATCAAAATTTTCTATCATGAATTGTTAGATGACACACTTTCACATGTGTGTGTTTCTCGTGTGTACTGGTGAAGGTTTCTCACCTGTTTTCCAGTACCTGTGAGTCCTCTTGACCTTGTCTGCCACGAAGCTACTGTCCTTTTTGCATTTGTGCTGTATGTTATAGACCAGAAGCACAAACATCCATAACCACTGATAATAATGCAAGTTCTGGTCATCATATCCATCAAAAACCGTTACTTTTTCCATTAGTATTTTTATTTTGTTCAGGACACCTTAGCTGGAGCCCCTGCTCCTGAAAAAAGAGGAACACCTTTGTTGCTGATATATTAAGTCTGAGATATGGCAAGTGCTTGTGTCTTTAAGCAGTGACAGGTTTTTATACAGCATTTATATACAGCATCTATACATACAACACACCAACATGGGTGCTGTGGGCATGCCAGTCCACCTACACCCTCCAAATCTTCTTTAGTCTTGAAAAAAAGAAAGAAAGAAGGGGTAGGGGAACACAGAGAGAAATACAAACACACATTAACAAGAGATTCCAAAAAGCAGCACAGTGAAGTTGAAAGGAAAAAATAAAAAATAAGAGCATGCATATAAATCTTTGGGAATGGCTTCCGTTTAAATCATATATGGTTTATTCTACTTTTTTAGAAGCTGTTTTTTTCCTTGGTTTTGTAGAACGACATATGAGGAACAGGGAATGAAATGTGATGAAGAAAAAGTGTAAGAACACCCAGAATGAAATCAACACTGAAGTAAGCACAAGAAAACACAATGAGATAGAAGTCACGGTTGCTTTTATCTCTACTTGAATTGAGTACAATACAAATAGAAACTCAGAGTTCTTTCATAGAGTGCAGCATGGTAATGTTACACTCGGAATGCTATTCCTAGTACACAGGTAATATCTAGTACATTCTAGTACACCAGTTGTTAAAGGTATTGTAAAACACAAGTTAACCTCTTGCTGCCTGCTCTACAGCCAGCTTGCTTATAGTTCATAGAATGGCTAATTGCAGAAAAATGGGGATTTATAACAGTGAGATTCCAACTCTTTTTGGCTAGGGTTCTCTAATGAATTTCAGTTTGCCCACTGAGTGAATTCCACACAATAATATGTTACAGCATGAATGCAAAACCATATTTGCAATGTTAATGTTTGCTTAACTGGTCCGATTAATGATGCATGTGTGTGAGAGCAATGCCAGAGTATACTGGTGTTTACTGTAAGCTGTGTGTGATACTGTTGCACCAACCTTGAAGCTAAATAATGAAACTGATATGTTGTATTTGAGGTCCATATTCACCGACATTTTGAAATGACTGTGTGGATTAATAGCATCTTCATTTGTGGGGGTGCAGTGTTGGCAGGGCGTCAGTGGGAGGAGGGTGTCTCACACACACACACACAAAACATTCACACATTCATTTACAAACACACACTTTCTCTCAGAAGTGCGCAGGACGCTCTACTTCTTCCTGTAGTTGCCGAGCTGGATGGCGGAGCGGTCGAAGACGCAGCGGAAGGTGACCGGCTGAACTTCCCAGTAAGGCACAGGGTTGCTGAACAGGCTGATGCCAGAGTACATGGCCTTCTTGGTGTTGAAGCCAGGAGGACAGAAGTCTTCTGTTCCCACAGCAGCAATCTTGTTGGCATGGAGGTAGACCACCTACAGAAGGGATTTAAATAATGATAACCTTTGGTCACTGACTGGGATGTAGGTGGCAATAATTTAGCTTTTCCAGAATAAAGCAAATAAAGAAGATAATAATAATTCACCAAATGAACAATAACAGCTCAAAAAAGCCTGAGGGGGATGTAATGCTAATTACACATTCCAAATCCAGCAGATCCAGAAATACCATACTGTACATGGAGAAAGCTCATAATTAATTGCAGTGATCACTATACTGTATTCTTTAGTTTTCATAGAAAGCATCCTAAAGATGAAAGTGTTGGGGTTGGGCTGTTATACATGTATGTAAATATTCCCACATTCCTGTTTACTGTAAACCCTATGGTTACTACAACTGGAGAGTCCCAATCCATTGGCAGCTAGTTCTCCTACCCCCAAAGGATTTTGTGGGAATGGGATCAATGCACCAGATGAATGAAATAACTTAAGCTAAACAAAAGTTAAAGGGTCTGGAATCAACATTATAGCATGAGAGGCTACCAACAATGTACTCAGTAAACAAACTAACTGAATCCATGTGGCTTTTGTTATGGAGGACTTGGTTGGCTTGTAATCAGGCAGTGTAAGTCTAAACAAACAAAGTCAACTTTTACAGTATTGCTTAGATCAGAGAAAATGAGAGGTGTGTGACGACACAAGTAAATGAACAACACGACTATAATGCTCAAGCAGAGGTCATTTGCTGGAACAAAATGGTTCCAATAACATTCTTTCTGTTATAATGTTGTGTATTTAAATCTGGATTAATAATATTGAGAAATATAAGCTGTAATTATAAACAAACCAGTATGTACTGTACCTGGATGTACTTATGATCGGGCAGTCCAGGAGGAACGCTGGTGAGAACGTTGTTGTCTAGGTGCAACTCTCGCAGGTGTGGGATGTTAGCCAGCGTGCCATTTTCCACAGAGCTGATCTCATTGTAGCTGAGACCCAGCCTGAGGAGAAAAACCAACAAGTAGATGACACATGGAAAGGTGTAGAAGAGCAAGGAACACAGCAGTAGGGGTGGACAAGCCAAGATAGTGATATCAGCATCTCTTGCTGCCAAAAATGATCATTAGCTAGTAAGAATAGGATACAAAAAAAATCTACACTATGACTCTGGTGATTACTGCTGTTTTGGTTTTAGGTTTTATTATCCAGCAAAGCCAATAGATGTGAAATCAGAAAATAAACACACAAGAGTGAGATTTAATATAAACTAAATAAGAATAGCATGTTCCCATGTTTCCAAAGGGAGTTTTAAAACTTTTGATAGATGAAATAACACAGTATTCTCTTTACATATAAGTTTAATTCATTAGCAATAAAACACAACTTTCTTAATACGTTACAACCTACCTGGTCTTGTATGACCACCAGTTTATGGTCGTAAATTTTCTTGACAGCAAGAGTTATGATTCAAAGTCATAGCTAATCCTAAGGCTAATATGGGGTAATGTTAAAAAGAGAAAACCATATTTACTTAGCCAGGTTCTTCAGGCCCTTGAAGCTGTCAGCTGTCACCTTGGTGATCTTGTTTGCATCCAGGTGAAGCTCAGAGAGAGAGCTGGGCAGACCTGGCAACCCACCGGAGAAGAATTACTGTCAAGAACTAAGCAATGACTTGCTGTATCACATCTACAGTGCTTTTGTACCTTGATAGCTGATGACATTACCAATTTTACATAGAGACTGGTGGTTGTATCAATTTGTAACCTTAAATTTTGGGTCAATTATCAAGAAGTGGTTGTTTCCAAGTCAAAGGCTTCTCATTGCTTATTCTCATTTCACTAACTACATCTGACAAGTTCCCACCCTGAGATAGAGTATTACTATGCAGTAAAGTTGTGTGAGTTGTTTTTCATGCTGAGCTACTTGTTTCAGTGTAAACCTAAATCTGAGCATGAATTCTTTTGATAGAAGATGGTTGTTTTTGTCTGAGACAGACTGGATAAACTCAGATTAAGCCAAATCCCCTAATGTAGAAATGATATGTGGAAATAAATATCAGCATTGTACCTTTGGGGATCTCTGTGATGTTAGTGTCTGCGATGCGAATGTAGGAGACCCTTTTCAGGTCAGCAAAAGCACCGGCCTCAATTCCTGCACTCTTAAAAGGGTTGGACCCAAGCTCTGAAAAAATGAATGAAATAAACAACTGAGACCACAGAAAGTAGGAGAAGAGAGAACAGCCATAATACATCATGTCTACAAGGTTAATTCTTCTCCTGGTGTGTTACAGAAACATAGAGCTGAGTCATGAGTAAACACAGTATTGGGCAAGTAGTGTATCACTTCAGCGCAGCCTTTCTCCACACCAGACTTCCCTGATTTGTCACAGTGGGATCAAAATTCGCATAGCATTGCATTTTAAGTGATTGAATCCACACTTTCAGCTTTAGCTAAGCAATGACAGAATGATACTTTTTAATTTGTGGAACAGAAAGTTTGTGCACTGTTAAACAATAGAAATCCATGAACTTGTTCAGGGCTCTGCAGACAATCAGCAGGCCATCTGGCTACATGAGTCTCTTTGGTCTTTTCAAGTAAAAACCTAAAATGAACATTTTTGTCCCTACCTCTTCCAACTGCTTGTACTGTGCACATAAATATGCCCGTTCTTAAACAACGTAAGTTTTTTTGATTTCATACCCATGACGATGACGTTGGACATGCCCTGGAAGGAGGCCTTTCTGATCTTAGTGATCTCGTTCTCGTGGATGCGCAGCTCCTGCAGGCTCTTGGGCATGTTGGCAGGCATGTCCTTTAGGTGGTTCTTAGACAGGTATAGGCGTTGCAGCTTGTTCAGAGGACTAAGGGCCTTGGCATGGATGACGGTAATTTTGTTGTTCACCAGGATCAGAACCTGTGGCAAGGAATAACCAGGAGATGAAAGAGTAATGTTAAATATGAGTTTTTATTCTTGCTACATGGTGTTATAGAGCTTTTACCACTATGTCCACATCATGCTGGGAAAGTGAAAACACCACATCAAAAGATGAATTCAAGGAATTCATTCTGGCATGAACACATCAATGAAGGAAGTCAAAACTAGTGATATTAGTTTACAACAGTGTTTTCAGATCCAGTCTGTTCCTGTTTAAATTCACATCACCGTCTGGATTCCTATTGTTCAGGAATTTGCTGTTTATTTAAAACTTTACACTGTAGTGGCTTTCACTGTTTCTTCATCCTCTCAGAAGCCTTTACTACAACAAATGCACCATGGGACAATAGAGAAACTGCTTTTCAGATGAAGCTCTACAATAACAAGACACTGTGAGCTCAGCAGCTGTTAGACACTCCAACCCAGTACCTGTTTCAAAATGGAGTCCAAGTTCAAATCCAGTCCTGAGTTATCACAACACACAATACATTTTTCACTGTGAGCTCAGCAGCTGTTAGACACTCCAACCCAGTACCTGTTTCAAAATGGAGTCCAAGTTCAAATCCAGTCCTGAGTTATCACAATACACAATCCATTTTCAGAGGAATCTCATTCCTGCTCTTCCACTCTTGTGTGAGCAGACCTGAGTTAATGTGAAGTATGTAGTTGAGAGGCCAGGTACTTCTCAGTGCAAAGTGCTCTGGCTGTCAGACTGATGTACTGTATTTATTGCAAGCCAAAAAGCTGCAAGAGGTTGAAGGTGTGAGGCTGTAATGCCTGAGGGTGAACAGTTTGAGGGTGGTAATGGGGAGAGGAGAAGTGTGCTATGGGTGGAGAAGGAATGTGGGTATAATCGCATGGTCGGTAACTAGTCAGCATCATGTTGAAAACTCTGCATGGTGAAGCGACTAGTAGACTAGGTATGACTAAAATGGGTAAATAGGTATGACATCTTCCCAGCCATCTGCACTGGCAGCAAAAATAAAACTGTGCAAACAGGTTTATTACAAGATGTTAAATCTCATATTGAAGATGGATTGCGATTAATGTATTAGTTACACACCAACACAAATTACATAACATGAGAATTACTGCCCAGACATGGGCTACAGATGGAAGTAAAACGTCTCTTACGTGCAGTCCTTTGAGGTTCTTAAAGTCATTCTCCTTGATCTCAGTGATCTTGTTGTTCTGCAGGTCCAGCAGGGTGGTGTCGATTGGGATGTCATCAGGAACTTCCTTCATACCTGATGGCAAAATATGAGGCATTTTATTAGATGTATCTGAGTTAACAGCATAGTAATGCAATAAATCCCTCCGAATGATAAATGAAGGAAAAACAAGCTTTGACTTTGAATATTGTCATAAATGTTTAATGCTATTTAGAAGTACACTGGATTAGAAGGCAATTTTTCAGGGGTTTTAAGCGCTTAAGGACATTCATAGAAACAGAGAATCAAATGTGGAAGAGCAAGACATGAGGTTAACAGGATTACAACACTATGAAATAACAAGGTCTGCTTTGTCAGTGCAGCATGTGACATAAAGCCTCGATGATAGGGACTTAGCAGAGTGCATTTCAAGGTGACATTCCAAAGGGACCGATCGACTGTTTGATGTGCTCCAAGGCACACATGGTGGAAATGGACCTTAAAACAAATTTCCTTTGGAGTAAGTGCACGACTGCATACCTGGACACTGAGCTCACACTAAATCGTTGTGCTTGGACTTTAGCATTTGTGTTTCATGGCTGAAACAGAAAATGGCATCTGTATTGAAAGATTGTTAGGCTGAGTGGACTGTTTGTAAAAATTACTGAGTCCACAAAAAGCACACTGAGATTATAATGGCTAGTTTACCTTTGAGAGGAAGAGGCGTAAAATAAACTGTTTAACAAAGAAGCTGGCACTCTGCATCTTTGGTCCACATAGGGACATGTTTGGACACATTTTGTCCTAAAAGCTTCTGCTTAATTCCTTCTAATTTGGGTTTTCCAACAGAACTGTCAAATGAAATCACAACTCATTTAACCCCCAGCTTTACTTTTCTCGCCTGTTTTCTTTATCCTGCACGGTAAAAACTTTACTGAGGAAAAACCACATCTATAAAAGCAAGGATGCTTTGGGATGGCGAGTAGACTCACTGTGTCTTGCCCAGGCGTGTGTGTGTGTGTGTCTCCAAATAAATGCATATGTTTATTCCTGTGTGTGTTTGAAAGTTTGTTTGTGTGCATGCCAACAGATCTGGGGAACAGATGAAGGATTGGGGCCAACAGTGCTGATGCAGGAGCTGAGAATCCAGCCATGGAGCTGCCTCTTCAGAGAAAGTGCTCCTGCTGACTGGGGTCCTGGCTGGAGGACTGATGTAATGGAACCAGTCCTTTCCTGGACATCACTCTCTCCAGCTGTCTGTTGCTCTGAATGTTGAGCCCCCTGTTCATCTGGGTCTGCCTTCCATCTGCACTCACTGCTTATTCTTTACTCTTATGTCCTGAGTCTGTAACATCACTTTCATTTTACTATCTAAGTCTTAGCCCTCTTAAACTTACTTAACCAAAAGTGACTATGAGCGGGTTAAACTTGTCTGCCTCACTTTTAATTTTATCCTCCTAGTTTGTCCATCTGGGTCACTCCCCCTTTCTCCTTCATCTGCCTCCCTGAAGCTTGTTCCCCTCCCTTTCCAAACAAAAGCAGGGCCAGAAAATGATCAAACCCAACTGCATAGAGAAGGACTTCTATGTAATATAAAAGAATAAATTGGGTCAGGGATTTTTCTGTGGCAAAGCCTGTGAGACACCTCAAGTGGTTATATATACTATACAACAGATTAGGCAGACAGAGTTTATAAGCTCCAAACACCATCGATGACAACTGAGTAAATTGTTGTGACTGTGCAGAAGCAAAAAGCCGAGTAAGTTATTGTTGTCTGGGTGAGTAAGCTTTACACTGAGAAACAAGTTTGGGAATTTTTGAGGTGCTAGGATTTCTCAAGTCCAGGCTAATCTCTAATCACTTTCATTGTTTAGGAAAATTTGCCCAGAAAGAACAAACAATGAAGTTTTTTACAGGAAGTCGAATGTGACTCAGAGCATCTGTGAGCAGTTAATGTAGCAACACTGGTGTCATGTTTTCTGAGGGACTTCACAATAATGAGAAACAGACAGTGCACCGATCGAGTGACCCTGGAGTCTGAGTGAACGGTGGAGACGGCTGAGCTCGTAAACTGAGTGACATTTCCTGCCCCTAAAAACCAGTAATGTCACTCAACACTGACCTCAGCATCTGATCCATCATACTGAGCTCAGCTGTATGGAATCAGGAAACAGCATAAAATGGAGGAGTGAACAAAGAAAATGGATGGAATAAAAAGTTTGTTAGATTTTGTCTGAACTTTAAAATTTAAATCAAGCCAAACTGTTTATTTTAAGGATTATGTGCTACATGCAGCTTCGGTTCAGATGATCAAGATTAAAGGCACATTACAGAGTTGTAAAACATCAGTGGCAAATGTTTGAGCTTGTAACCTTAGCACTGTAGTTTTGACTCAAAATATATTTAGTCTTTCCAGTTTCTCAAACATGTAGAGTAGTTGCTTTGATCTATTTTATATCACTGTGAAAGTGAATAGTTTGGGGGTTTGGATGAAACAGCCAATGTGAAGACATTTTGACTCAAAAAGATTAATTGATTAATCAAGAATTCAACAGAATTCCAGCCCTAATATATTCAGGTAAAAATAATAATAGAAACAATAATGATGTGATAAAATGTGTAAGAATATATTTTATATATATAGTTTTAACATGGAAAAGTTCAGGTGACTTACTAGCATACACATTTTTCATAAAAACAATACAACCAACTTTTTTTGTTTTAAGCTCAATATGGTAACTACTTAAAGGAGGCTTGTTTTTATTTCTAGTGATTTGTGTTGTTAATGATTCATTAATGCATTAAATCTTTAATTATAGGTACTAATAGACAGTGAGAGGGATCACTTTTGTGTTTCTGCATTTCTAATGGTTTTTCCAGTGCAAGTTAAGATCCACAAATCTTTCACTGAAAAGCACAGAAGCAAACTTAAATAATCACCTAAAATTATACCCTTGTGTGGGTGTTGGTGGTGTTGGCGTATGTGCTGGGGTTAGCTCTAGCCCATTGGCAACACTGAGGAGGTCGCATGGACATAGAAAAATGACTGAGTTCAGTGCGAGATGCCTTTTCTTACCAAGGTCAGAGCACTGGATCACACGCAGGTGGCACTGGCATCTGAAAGGGCACTTGGGGCCTTCAGGTATGAAAGGGATGTCCAAACCTGGAGGTGCTTCAGTCACACCAGATCCTGCCTCATCCTCCATCATGAAGTCTAGGAAACCAGACTGGCGGAAGGGCAGAGCCCAGCAGGCGGTGACCAGGAGCAGAGAGAGACAGGCTGATCTCATGGTGCAGCTTGCAGGGAGCCTGGAGGGTGAGAGGACACAGTTCAAAGGTTTGAGAGTGATTGAAAGGCAGAGAGAAGGATGTTGTATGAGAGAGATAGAACAATAAACATTGACTGAAATCTAGAGAGGCAAAGGTGAAGGTGAAGGGCCAGAGAAAGTTAAAGACTTTATGTAACAATTTATTAAGGTAGGTGAAGGTGTTAGGAGGAGAAGGGACACGTCTTAGGGGGCCAAGGAAGAGCAAACAAAACAAAACAACTATTTTTCCAAAGTGGTGATATTTAGGTCTTAAAACATAATTTCTACTATGTAGTATTTACTATTACAGCGGGTCATGGCCTTTTCAGTCAGACATACCCCGAAGTACCTCTTTGTCAAGGACAATTCAATTTTCAGTGTTTTTGTATTACTGTTCAACAAAGGCTGGATATTTCAATTTGCACTATTTTAGTTTTAGCTTTTTCACATGTTGTCTATGCTCATATATATATATTTTTTATGGCACTAACTTCTATTTTCTCAAATCGATTGAGATGCTCTTAGATAATTTCATACATTCTCTGGAGACAGCAGACATACCCTTGTTTGGGAATCATTGCACCAGTGATATTTACTTTTTGTTCATTCTTAAGGAATTGTTCCTACTAAATGATCTGGACACCACGTGCCTATGTAATTTACGTTTACAACATAGAACGCCTGCTGAATAAGAAACATCTGCTTTAACTTATACAGTAATGCACAAGGGGGACATCATGAGAAATTGCATGGCTGCCACTGTATACCACTGTACCATATTTTCTATTCAAAATGAATCAGTGAGCATTTGTTTGACAAATACTTTATGGAGTTCATCTAAACTAAAATAAATATGCAAGTATCTGGAGTCTCTGGGAGAACCCTGCTTCCTTATGTAGCTGTCTATTTCTAAACACAATCACGTCCCAGTTAACACATACACACACTCTCTCAAGTGAAGTGTGTGGACGTCCACATATCCTCCACGACCTTTTACACTGAAACACACACACAAGCATCAGCGACCCAGCAATCTGCTTGTCATGCGTAAAGCCCAAAGTTGCTCCTTCCCTCTTGGTGCCACAATAATTGAAGGGCGGGTTTGGGCCGTAGCTGCTAACAAATGATTTGGGAGCAGTTGGTCTGCAGCAGACCTTGACCTGAATGTTATGGCCACAATGATGAAACTGAGTCAAAACCATCAGATGGCCAGAGCTGAAAGTGTCTTCAAGCTGGTTTTTATGGTGTGCGTGCACGATGCTTATGTGCTGCATAATGTTTACTTTTAGGTTTATTTTTTTTGCATCTGCATGTTTTGAGATGCAAAAAAAAAAAGAAATAAATATATTTTAAGTGTTTTTTAAGTGTACTAAAGCAAGTATCCATATTATATTTGTACCTTTATACTTTATGATTACATAGTATACTGTTTATGTGGAAAGCAATACATGCACTATTTAAACCTTTGACAATGTTTAATGGGCTGCGTTCGGTCACGTCAGGTCATGGGGATTACGGCTGATGGTGACTCTCAACAAAAGCAGCAATTATAGTCCTTGTCCACAAAACAGCTACCACTTTTGCACACTGTACAGCCAGTGGTTACAGTGCTTGCATACAGTATGACCAAGCTTGAAATCACTTCAGTAGGGACATGTGTTGGTTGGGATATCTCTATCTCTTAAGGGTTTTTATTTAACATTTGTTCTGTTGCTATGAGGTGGAAAAACCTGGAAAACACTCGAAAGAGTGATTTTATTAGTTTGCACTTCAAGCCTTGTCACACAGTATCGATGCAGTTTCCAACTTTTGCCATTTTTACTTCCTTGGAAACATGGAGTAGTGGGAGGTGATCAGAGACACAGAGGACATTTTCAGATTCAGAGGACATGTTGTTCCAGTCTTCAACAAACAGAGTAATGGCTGTGTCAGACATTCTTATCTGAGCACAAATGAAAGCTCAATCCAATAAAAACTTGTCTGCAGACCTGGCATAAATATTCTGCTGTCTTTTTGGATTTGGAGCTGTAAAGCACTCCTGGGTCAAGTAGTGCTTGTACTTGTCTTTCAGTGTTCATTTTATCCTGTTTAAATGCCAGGTTAGGCTTGTCTTGTAGTACAATGCATCCTTTGCAAGTGCTGGAAAGTATTTGTCATGAACTCCTCACATCTGGCACATCTTGCAGGCTAAAATGTTCTGAGTTAACTAGAAAGCCTGTGTACAAGCTTTGTTTAAAGGGGCAGCAATGCACACACACAAAATAACAGAGGTGTCACCTTTGATTTGACCCATGGCCACAAGCTCCTAAACATGCGCATTGGTGCAGAATTTCAGATGGCCCTCCATGTATCCATCATCCTTTGCCCATAAATGTTTTGCCAGCTTTTAATGTGAGACAGGCAAAAAGTAGATGAGAGAGGGATCTCAGACTAAGCTCCGCGAGCTTTTAAGGGCTGCAGCATTACTGCAAGCATAAGAGTTACTGCTACTTTGTGACTTATAAGCAGGTCCAAGAGCTGTTGTTGATGAAAATAAATCAAGAGTTTGAAATAAAACCAGGAAAAAAGAATATGAGACTTTCAGAAATGATTGTTTGTGACCTTAAGTATTTCTAACCATAGCTGCAGAATAGACAATAAGGGTATGAAGGAATTTGGGTATAAAACTAGGTGGCTGTAGATTGTGGAAATTTATGAAATTGTATCAACATTAAAGTGGTGAATTAATGAGTATGTGATCATCCAAGGTCTGTCACTCTAAATTCCAATGGCAGACCAAGGAATTATGGGTTAGATGTGTTTTTTTTTTTTTTTAAATGTTGTTCCCAGCTGAGATAACCCTCTGAAGATGATGCACGAGACAATCTGTTGTGCTCGAGGCGTTGCTTCTTTCATTATTGCTCAGATATGTCCGCAAACCCTGCAGGGTGGCCTACCCCCACATCCCGTGGGTCATATGACTGAACTACAGGGTATGGTTGTTTCAGGGCTACACACACCTGAAGGGTCTGCTAAAAACATGGCACAGAGTTCTCAAACAACACACTTGTTGGAACATGACTGAATTCTCCTAGTTCTGCATTTTAAGATTTCAAACCCCTTCAAAAAAGATGCAACTTTCCAGTATGACACAGGAAGCCATTTAATGCACATTAATTTTCACTTTCACAAAGGAAACCTAATGATTACTCCAAGCTGGAAACCAGATGTTGTTACAAACACAGCTTAGAAAACATGACCTGGCACTGATGCATTGATAAGATGAAACGTTAATACACTGTTGCAGTGATGTAATGAAAACTTTTGATAACTAATACAACGATACATTTAGCCTTGGATGCTTTTATTGTGTATACCAAATCCAACATGTACCAACGAAACACATGCATCATTTGCATGAATACATGCACAAGCGCAAGAAAGTAATTGCATTAAACTGTTCTCCTCAAAGTTCTTTTCATAATGTATGAGACCAGTGTGTCTTTATTCGAGGAACATGACCAATGCCATGCTGTAGCACAGCTCCAAGCCAGTTTACAAGATGAAAACTTGGCAGGCTTTATTCACAGTAAGTGGACTGACACTAATTCATGCAAATGTGGCAAAATCTAGCTTCCTACTGGTGGACTTCAAGAGCCATGCAAAAACTACAGTCACTATAAAAACCTTCAAACAAATGCAAAGCACAAGGGACAACAAAAAAGGTGATGCTGGGCTAAAAAGAAGGTACACTTCACACAGTGTTACACAGACATTCAACCTAGTCTTTCACATTCTGGAGCAGCAGCAAACACTGGTGGAGGATTTCACACACATTTAATTTCACCCAGTTAGGAAGTTAACAAATAATGGTCGAAGACCTTCCAAAGAATGGATGGCTGTTGCAGTGACGTACAGGTATCAGTGGGAAAGTTTAGTTTGTATATTCAAAAGATTTACAATCCATAATATTCCAGAAAGGGACACGTAATACACTGAACACTAACCATCTCTATTGTCACCTCTCCTGTCTCTAAAGCCTGCTATTCATCATCCTATGTCTGACCAAAAGAAAAGGGACTGAGGTTGACATTTCCTGTTGTGGCGACACCTTTGTCAATTCTCCAGTCCTTCTCTTTTGTCTTATCTCTGCCCTCCCTCCACTTTCCCCTAAGTCTGGCCCCAGCATTACTAATGATTCCCAGACAGGAAACAGAGTTTGCATAAGGGAGGAAAGTAATTTTACTTTCTTTGCTTTGTCACTTTCTCCTCTCGGTCACTGCCTTTCATTGAAACTTTCATGGCTTAGAAACTCAGTGAGTAACTCGTAGAACAATTACCAACCAAACTCAACAAGTCTATGATTCAAATGCCTGCAGCAGGAAATAAGCAGATCTGAGCATTAAGCAGCATAGTGTCTTGATTTTAGCCAATGAAACCTTGTTGTAATGAAGGAAAGAATATAAAGACACACTCATTCCACCCTCCACCCTTGTTCACTACTTCCCTTTCTCCCCTTTGAGTCTCCACAGGCCTGTGTCAGCCTCTGCAAAGGGTCGGTCAGCAATGAATCACTGGAAGGTATTTACAAGGCCACAGGACATTTAAAACATGTGGTTCTTTTAACTAATCAGCAATTGAGTGTAAGCTCCCCTCCAACGTGGTTATATAATCAGATATACTCAGATAAACATGGACGATCGACAACAAAACAAAACAAAAAAAAGGGGTGATGGGGAGGTGGGTTGGTGCTCTTACTTTGGCAGTGGTCTGAGGAGCATGTGATCATTATTTTCGATAAATGTCTGATAAATCAGGGGATTTTGTGAGTGAGGACATACCGACATAGCCAGCAAACCATACTGGAGCCAGTACATTCTTGTAGAGGGAGTTAGGTCAACTCAGTCCTCTCTGAGGACTAGCCCTCCATGCAGGTTTTTGGCTTCAAGAATGCCCAAGATACTCTTAACACTTGTAAACGTTTTGCTGCATAGAAAAGTTCTACTGATTGTAAGTAACCAAAATTTTCAGATTCATAACTATGGAAGATCAGGGTCTCTTAAGCATGCTTGTTGTTTGGAGCCATAGCATGAGAAAGTCAGTGAGTGGTTAAACCACATTTCAGCTGTTCCATGAGAAGAGCTGTCGGCCTGCCATCAACCTCAGTCCCATTATCAACAGTCTGTGCTGCACAGACGTGGACATACTGACCAACCTTCTTTTTCTTTCTTCTCTTGCCATCTTCTCCTCCCATTTTAAGCTTTTTCCTTCCTTCCCCAGCTTCTCTCCTATATCTTATGGATTTTTCTTTTTCTGTTTAACCCTCAAAACTTTGAGCAGAAAGACTGACGTGGAACTTTCTGGTATTCCAGTAAGTAAAAAAAAAAAAAAAAAAAAGTGTGCGTGTGGGGGGAGGGGATACTTTCATGGCTAATGTCCATTGAATTCCATTGTTCTTTTGCTCTTTGTGACCCAGAGAGTTGAGACGCAGATGGGAAAAATGCTGCCTGTGATTGCTGTGAGTGCAAATCTGGGCCTTGCCTCCTCCAAAACCTTCCATATTCTCCCTTTTCTGGTTCCAACATCTGTTCAGCTCAAGTTGAAACTACCAAGATACTTTTATTAAATGTATATTAGGACAGAGTTTATGCCTCTTTTAGAATCTATTCTAGTTCCACTTTGCATTTTATTTTGTCTTAGTTTTCCCCTTGTTCAGTTTCCCTCCTGTCGACTCAGTCAACTCAGTGCAGCTGAGCCTTATTAATTTTTTTTCCCTGCTGGCAAAAAGGATGTAATGAGTTAGCTGAGAGTTGTGTGGTGGCTTGCCGGGAAGCCTTCAGACCTCCTCTGATAGAGGAAGCTGTACCATTAGGTAATTAATGGCTCTATGTGTTGTCAGGTACAGTATTTCTGTTAATCTCCTCTTCAAAGCCTATACTTCAAGTTGGCTGTAGCAATTTGGGTTCTGTTCTGCTCCCATGAAAACACAGCAGCAAATGCCACAGTGAGCAGAAAAGGTTTGTTCTGATAAAAAACAGAGCTGCAGAGCAGGCAGATAAGAGATCAGGGTTAAACTGGTCTGGTTGCAGTCTCAAATGAACTGCGGAGATTGAAAATGTGAGAAGCATCAGAAACAACTTTTCCAAAGTCTTTACAAGCAGTAGTTGGCTGAATCAACACACACACACACACACACACACACACACACACACACACACATCCTCACTCTTTCTTCCGATTCCCCCCCCCCTTGAAGACTTCCCAAGAACCAAAGGGAGATGAAAACACAGAAAAAAGAAATGAAAGCACACTAAACAAAGTGAGAAAAGAAACAAATAAATGGAGCCAATTGTAATATTTTCCACTGATGGTTGCAAATGATGACAAAAAGAAGAAGAAAATAACTTAATTAGAAACAAAATCATACTCTGCTTTCTCCTTACTCAAACCTTTGCCATTATGGAAACATAACAAATCTGATTTACTCGCCATTTATAAAACTAGCACACTCATGGATCTAACTTGAGGAATGCAGTTCCATCTGGGTTACATCCAAACAATCAACATACAACTGTCCAAACACTTCAGCTGGACAAAAAGCTGCAAGTAAAAACAACTGCAAGCTGAAATTGTAAATTTCTGAAGACATCTCATGGCACTCAATGGTGGATAGTTTTAAAATTAATGCTGGGCCAGAGGAATTGGTTTTTTGGCAGAGGAGAGAGGTCCCAGCATCAACAGCACCACCACACCCCCTTCCCTAGCCACTGCTGTTTTCACTGAACTGTAAGTGGAATGGACTGGGAATGATTAAGGTCTCTCATCACAAAACCAAGAGTACTGTGGGAACAGGACCTTTCAGAATATCTGGAATACATACAACACACATAAAGGCTGCAGAGAGAGGTAGAAGCAACAATGCATGAAGAAGGGACTCAAACATACTCAAATCCATTTAACAAAAAGACATATACGCATAAATGTATCCCAAATAACATAAGCAGCCATTTATTAAAATAAAATTACTTCATCAGCAAATAATGTGATGTGATATATTTTGTCATGCTTGCATTTATGCAACAAGTCACAGTCCAGCAGAAACTGAGCCATCCTCTCAAGTCTACTCTGTCTCTTCTAAAATTAGTCCACAGAGAAACCTAACTGCTGATTTTTAACCTCTCTTCACACATTTCCCCCCTCTACCAATGTTAAAGGACTTAACCTACCTGTTCTCAGTAGAAGCAAGGCAAAGAGAGTGGGTGAGATGAGCTTGACTCCCAAAATCCAGTCGAGTGGAGGGATGAGACTGTGAAGTGGCTGTGAGGGCCTGTGGGGTAATTGGACTCAGAGCGCGTGCAGCCAAGATCAAGCAGGTGTGCTCTTTCACAACAAGGGGAGGAGAGAGAGAGGGCGAGAGAGGAAGAAAGACCAAAGAGAAAGAGGGGAGAGAGGCAGAATGAGGGAGGGGTCTGACCGCCGAGCTCTTCTCTGGACCGAAACAATTGGTGGAGAACTTCCCCCGTTCTCGCTCCGTGCTCCAAAAACAGCTGGAAATCGAGAAGGGGGGAAGAAAAAAAGGAGTAGAGAGAGAGAGAGAGAGTGTGCAGGAAAAGGGAGACAAGGAGAGGCAGCAAGAGAGAGGAGAGGAAAGAAGGAAAAAGAAGAAGAGAAAGAGGCAGAGACTTTGAGTCTAAAGCAATAAGCAGTGATTCAGCTGGCAGTCACCCTCACTGTGACATCTGGTAATGATAGGTCCTGTGTGGAGCTTCGCTGAGACATTCTGCTTCTCCGTCTTCCACACTTTCACTCTCATTCATCTTCCTTCAGACTCTGTATTGAATACTCCTGGGAACACACACACACTTTATCCTAGCCCTAACCTAAACCAAGTCTTTACTCTCAAAAAGTCCTTTGAAACTGAGAAAATGGAAAATAAGTGGCAAATGGCAGATTAATAGAAATGTGTCCACACAAAGTAATATAGAATAAATTTAAAATCTACTCATTAAAATCTTTTTTCTGACATATGATACTAACGTTCTAAGACACTCATTTTCTACAATATTTGTGTATGGCAACTACTG